TTATTCTAAATAAATAACTTTAAGAAAATTCCCGTTATCCTGAATACTATTATCAGAGTGGAACATTAGTTTTATAAAACTTATTACTAAAGTAAATCGTATTTATATTAAATAACAAAGTAACTTTTAAAAATATCCCCTTCCATTATGGTGTCTACTTTATATAGGAGTGTACAGTATGTGTAAAATTGGTTTGGTGAGTTTTATGTGTAAAACTGTCCACAATTTAATTCTCCCATATAAGTGTTAAAAACATCAGTGTTAAAAAATTTCATTTAACTTTCCGTCAATTGTCTTGTAGCAAAAGACATCGATAATAAATTTTCACACTTATTTTTTTATACAGTAAAATAATAAAATTCATATAAACAGAAAACCATTTGCAACTGCAGCGTTTGGGGTTGGAATAGACAAGCTAGAAATAGATTCTAATATGAAAGCAAGAAACGTTCTTTTGAAGGAATGCGAAAAAGAAGACGCATCACAAGATGTCTTCTACTTTAACAGTAAATGAAAAGCTGGAAAGCTTCCCTCTCAGTTGATGAAAATGGAGCCAAAAGAGAGGAAGCTGCATATCTTTATGTACTTAGAGCACAGCGCGATAAAATATGATGACTATGGTAGTGGCCAGAAATGTAAAGCTCTATATTTTAGAGCGTGGCTTTCAAAAGGAACCAGAACGGATATCATTTTATATCTTAATGTATTTTTCTGAAGTACTTTTTGTGGTGGGAAACGTACATTTTCTTTCCTTTTTTTCTTAGTCCTCCTCTCATTCGGAAATCTTTTAGATCCTATAAACTGGTTAGAAACATTTCCTGAAAGGTTTGTGGTCACTGAAAAGAGGAAAAAAATAAGGAAAATTTCTTAAAGACTGGTTTTCTCGCAGAGAAAAATTCCGAGCAAAATATTATTTTTTTCTTAATAATCTTTTTCCTTCAAACGTAATAATAATTTAGTAAATATGAGGTAGTAGTGGTTTATTATTTTCTCTGTATGTGTGTAAGATTCTTTTCAATGATTTTCGAGAATTTTATTTCATGTTCTCCTCTAGAATTCTTATAAGAAAAGTAGATAGTGTGCATACATCAGTTTTACTTGGAGGTCATTAGAGTTTGGTGAAAAAGTTACTATGCATGTATTTTTATTTAAAAATTGTTAAGAGATTTATCGATATTAATACTTCTCCAAATAATAAATGGTGTTCCTTTTTTTAATTTTAAATTAAATTCGCAATATTTTGTTGAAAAACTATAGTGGTTACTTGTTTTCTAACACCATTAGTGTGACGAAAAATTACGTGTAAAATTGTACGAATCCGGTTTTTGAAGAAAATAATTTTAAATTATGATTATGTTAAATTAGCTTTTACTTGTTGGCAATTTAAAAAATGTTTCAAGCAGCAAAAATTTAAAAGGAATTTTAGTCTGTTTTCGGATTTCGAAGAAAAAGATAGTAGGTTGTCGTGAAGACATGCTGATGTAGCAATTATTTTGTAAATAGTTGAATTCTTCGAAAAGTTCGTCGCTGGGGTTTGGTTAGCGGGAGTTTAAATATTAATAAAATTGTTGTTTAGTTTTGATGTTTGTATTGATGTTCCTTTACTAATATATTTTCAATAAACAAAGTAAACATTTTTATATTTAAAAATCCTACAATGTTCTTTATATGAAATTTTAAAACATCAAAAATATTACGAATTACAAAGTTATTATAAGAAAATAATTTAATTGAATTCTTTTTGTTAATAATTGAAGTAGTCTTCACATTTAATCTAAAAGAAAATAGGTTTTTGTTTCTATAAAGAATTTTCCTTTTAAAGTACTAAACATTTAGATATAGATATATATATATAAGCACACCTATATATATATAATATAGGTGTGTGTATTTGATGCGTCAAAACCATAATTGATAACTTATTTGTGAATTTTAATTTCAAATAATGCTGTTCATTAATTGTAAACTTTTCTGAGTGTGATGCAATAATTTCCAAATGAATTCGGCTAATTAGTTGTAACCAATAATATACATGAAACAAATCTATTTAAATCTTCATTTAGAAACAACGAAAATTAAGTTATTTTATTTTATGATTAATTATTTGAAAATTTGCAATTTTTAACAAGTTCCGGGAGTCGTATCTCTCTAAGGAGGGTATTTATTAAAAAAGAAGAGTTGGTATTACAGAATAAAAGGGTTTGTCCTTGACATAAATAGATAAGGGTTTAAACAAGTTAGTTTGAAGTGTATCGGTTGGAGAAAAATAAGGTTATATGGCAGATTTAAGGTAAGAGATATATAAGAAATTTCATAATTATTTTTCTCTATTTTTTTCTCTGTTTTCAATTCCTTCTATTAGCTCACACTCTCCCTATATATATCTTGTTCAAATTTTCAATCATACATGAACTACTTTTTATTCATCCACTCAGGTTCAAATACATTTTTTTTAACTTGTAATGGAGGGTACCGGGTGTTAATACAGTTTTTTCAGATATTAATTCATTCATTAAATTTAATTAGTTAATTTTAGGGGTTTTTTTAGATTTAAGTTCCCTGTATCTACCAATAGATGGCGCCAGATAAACTTAAAAAATGAATAAAAATTATTTATAAAGGACTTTCTGCAATAGAGTGAAAAAAAAGTAGGAAAGTAGGAAAGTAGTGGGAGTAATTTGAAAAAAAACATTTTATATCACTTGTTTTGTATTAATATAAGCGATTGAATTGCTTAATTTAAACCGTGTATTATTGTAAATGCCAATGAATAATTCATTTTGGATAAAATAAATTTTAAGAAGTCCTTATAATAAGGGTTGAAGATTTTTAAATTGATATACTTCAGCTTTCGTCATGGAACAGGATGTGTTAGTAGCTTGATAGTGGATTGACAAGCTATATCCATACCGGGCATAGTTATGTACTAGTGGTTCTTAATACTGCAGTATAAATTAGAATTTTATTATTGGTGTACATTTCTGAGTGTCAGAATATGAAAGGGAAATATTTTCTTAGGTTATTGCGATATTTTTATCTGATGTAAAATATGCCGGATATCCATGAAAGATTCTAGTCCATGGGGAGGCCGAGGTATTTGACTTGTTTACTCCAATTTCTGGTTTCATTTCTCATGCGGATAATTGGTTTCTTGAACTTGTTTCCTTTTGAAAAAAGTATTGTTTGGTTTTCATGATATATATTGCTATTTTCTATTATCAAAACAGAATAGAAATTTATTTGAGGTGTTTAATAAGGCTAAGTAAATAGGGCTTAATTAAGGCTAAGTAAGTAAATATGGCTTTTTTCCTTTCATCACAAGGTAACGTTATCTGTAATTATTTGCATGAAAATTAGTGGCGATTCTGAGATAGAAATATTGTGTCAAATTAATCAGATATTATCAAACAGAGAGTGGTAACAATTTTTGTGGGAGTAAAAATAGTCCTTCGAATAAAGGTAAATATTTAATTATGGCTGTTATAATTTTGATATTCTAAATCTTAAAATTCAATTTTTATTTTTTTAATGAATTATAACGCTTAAATGGTAGGAAAAATTAGTAGTTTTGTAGAAAAATTCAGGTTTTCAGAGAAGTTTAGAGCTATAAAAGACAAAAATGAAATATTTCTGCTAAAAGAATGAAAATTTAAACGCAATCCAGCTGAAATGTTGATGGTTTAATTTAATCTTTTAATTTCAATCTTTTGATTATAATATTATTTATTTATTTTTCAAATTAAATATTCATTATTTCTAAAGTAAATTTATAGAAATTATAAACATACAAATTATAAAGTTAAATAGTGAAATTCATTTTATATAAAATGATGTATTATTTTAAACATTATAGAAACAATGTTCAATATGCAATCCTATTGTGAACAGTTATTGTTGCACTAACAAAGTTTGTCGCCAATTTCTTCATTATAATGTAGATTAACATCTTAATTATTCGTTGACTAATGTAACTTTACTTTAGTTGTTCCTCATTCATGGGGAAATAATTTCGTTTAAGAATCCTCCGGTTTCATTGTGTACCACTAACTATTCAAATGCCCTTGGGAGCTAAAACCCTGATTCCAACAATATTAAAAGGCCAAATGAAATGTTAAACATTCCAAATAACCTGCCAAGTATCACCAGAGTCCCATGATAGCTTATCTTTCACCATTTTGTCAATAACATAGTGTTATGCAAATGCATCCTTTTCTCTGGACAAAATGTAAATTATTTGAGCTGGAGGTGTTTGGGAATTCGATACCGCTGATATATTTCCTTACTTTATGCTTCCTCAAATTAAGCTAACAACACGGTTGCTGATTCGTCCTTTAATAAGCGAAAAGTACCACGGGTTAAATTAGACCCCCTCTGATTAGATCTCAAATTTTTCAGCTTGAAGTTTGCTGGGGATGAAATTACAATTAGCCAAAGAGCAAAGTGGTGTATGTCACACAGTTAGGAAGATGGTAATTATCGGAATTGAATTTGTATTTAAATTCCCAGGTTTCTAATTAAAATACTGCAAAAACATTCTATTAATCTCTCAAAGGGCATATATTTTTAAATAAAAGAAAATAACAATAACATTTTCTTAAATTAGTTTTGAGTCTCGTCAGTATTTCAGAGATAAAGAAAATAAAAATAATTACCGAATATACTTACGTTTTGTCTGAAAGCAAATTACGAACCAACCAAATTATATCTTGTTTGTTGTTGTTTCTTATCCCACTTGGCTGGCCAAGCCCACGAGCCCATACGTACTCATGATTTAATGGGAAGGAAGCAGCTTCTGTTGTGATGGAGCACCCGTAGGTAAAAGTCTGACTTTGGCTCTGTGACGCTCTTACAGTCATAGGAGACCGGGACCTACGGCTTAAAGTGGATTCCGAACCACTACAAACATCCATGGCACCGCCGGGATTCGAACCCGAAACCCGTGGAACCGAGCGCCAGAGCGCTAGACACTCGGCCATTCAGGTCCCAAATTCGTGAATGCCAACGGCACGCGGTGTTCCCAGGTGGCCACCACCGAAGTACTGACCACGCCCAATGATGCTTGACTTCGGTGATCTAACGAGAACCGGTATATTCAGCACGGCATGGTCGTTGGCTAAATTATATCTATATATATATATATATATATGTATATATATTTACAAAAATTATTATACGCAGACAATCTATACTATTCTTTTCGTGATAATTTCTTATTTAATTTACTTTACATAATATTTAATGTACACTAATATACTTGTGGAGCTACTCAACTTACTGTTGATGATAAATCTTATTCATCGAAACTTTACAATATTAGTAAAGCATTACTATGTAGAATAAAATATTACCCGCGCTACTATACAACTTTTATTTTTACTATCAATGTTGGAAGAATTTTTTATTACCCACTGCATTATTTATCAATTAAAATAATTATTTTTAAAATTATTCTAACTATATGGATGCGTATTATGTGTAGGTATATGTATTATTAGAACGCATGGGTATCCTGTATCAGTGTCTCTAAATCTGTAAAATTTCAAAAAGTAACATACTAGTTTACGTTAAATGGGAATATTATTTTTTTAGAATAAAAATTGCAACTTTAGATAAGCCATTTCAGCAAAGTATTTTAAATCTTTATTTAATTCAATACATTACATATATACAGTTAAACAAAACTTTACCGTATTCTTATAAAACTTTTTATCAAATGTTAATAATGTTAATCATTTTTTATTGGAAGTATACTCCAAAACTAAACTATATGAAAATGATTCATGAAAAAATAATTTAACTTCAAATTATGATGTAAAGTTTAAGACAAATGAAATTTTTTATTCCAAAAGAACTTTAATTTTCACATATAATTTGTTTTCTTTCTTTACTCATTCCGTAAGACATTTCAAGTTAATGAAAATTCATTGAAAAAATATTTATTAGTAAAATTAATATTTATATAGTTTTAAAAGTTATATAAATAAAAAATTAAAAGTTAGTTGTTATATATTTAGTTATAAAAATTAATTTTAAAGTTTTTTATAGGGTTTTTCTACAATTTTTAATAAAACGTTTAAAAAAAAATATCCTAGAATATTTTTATTCGAATTTTAAAAGAAATCTTTTCTCACTTTTCTTTTAAGTACTTTAACTCCTCAAGTTAAAGTACTTGAAAAGTTTAAATGGTAGTTTTCAGAAATTTAATTGAAGTAGACAAGTGTCAATTATATTTTTGAAATAGTTGTATAATAGGTCATTAAAATTCTGAAAATAAAAATTGCATTAGATAAAATAAGATTTTTTGGTTTTTCCCATTATGCCTTGCACATTTTCTACATTGAATTTATTTGCTTCTTTGTATATGCATAATCATACTGAATTGCCTTATCTTATCTGCATTTTATTTCATTAATTTATTCTTTAAATGATTTTTTTTTTTCTTTAATTACTAACTCATTTATTAATGTATTTGATGTCCTTTTTAATGTTAAGTTATACATTACGGATTTGTTAGCCGATCGGTTGATTACATTAGCTTAACATATTATAATGTAAATAGATTCTATTGTTATTGAATAAAGGTTTATTCACAGTGATTTCTCTGTTACAAAAATATTTTTATACTACACGTCATTTACACAACAACACTCCACTATTTGTGGTACGAGTGTCTTATATATATCATATAAATCGACATTAACATTTTATAGAGGCAAATAAGAATCCGTAAAAGACATATTCCTAGGCTATAGATGCCTAGATAACACGGATTCCTTTAGCATGGGTTGACTCTAACAAAATTTTAGAATAAAAAGATTTCCTCATAATACGGCATTTTTTCAAACTTTCTAAAAAGTAGGAAAATCGCATGCAAATAGGAACATATGTATTTCATGTCAGTATTCATAATTTTAGAACTTCAATTTCATTTATTAGGAAAGAAAAATTAAAAATATTCATGTTTTCATAGATATATATTGCACATTTTTAATTCTTTGGGTATTTATTATTATAGATCTGTTCTTTAAGTGTGTCATTTTTCAAAATTTCATTTGTAATGTTGAACAATGAATTCCATAAAAACATTTCATCATGAAATAATAAAAGACAACTCTGCTCATCGTCAAAAGTTTAACAGTGATCTATCATTATTATAGATAAAGAACATGTAAAACTTATAGGATAAAAAAAAACATGTATTAAACTTGTAACAGTGGCCTGATAGCCAACTGGATAGCTGTCTGATCTTTCGTAACATACATTCCAGGTTTCAATAATAGCTGTGGCATGGATTTTCGTTAGCTGTTCCACATCTGCTTTAAGCTCTAAGTTCAGGTATAATTGTATTTTGTGTGCAAAAAATTACCATAGAGTGACAAACGAAATCAAACCTGAAGTTATCTAAACGGTATAACATGTTTTAGTAATTCTTTGAGTTTTAAGTATCATCTCTTTAGAGGGGGCATTTTTCTGCATATGAGAAACACCCCACATTATAGAGAACCGTCTCCCATTTTCTTAGTGAAGAACTTATTAGATTTTTGGTTATGTCATCTTTCCACGTAAATACCTTGGACATGGCATTATCTTGCCCACTTCATACGTGATTCTTTATGGTGTTCAAACAGTAGTGACTTGTAATATAAAACTACACAGTGACTTGTAATATAAAGTTACACAGTGACTTGCAATACAATGTTACATGCAGTTTTAATTTAGCTAATTAGATTTTTGGTTATGTCATCTTTCCACGTAAATATCTTGGGCATGGCATTGTATTTGCCCACTTCAGACGTTATTCTTTATGGTGTTCACACAGTAGTAACTTGTAATATAAAATTACACAGTGACTTGTAATATAAAGTTACACAGTGACTTACAATACAATGTTACATGAAATTTTAATTTAGCTCATTAGATTTTGGTTATATCATCTTTCCATGCAAATATCTTGGACATGGCATTGTATTTGCCCACTTCAGACGTTATTCTTTATGGTGTTCACACAGTAGTGACTTTTAATATAAAATTACACTGACTTGCAATATAAAGTTACACAGTGACTTACAATACAAAGTTACATGAAGTTTTAATAAACATATTCTCATAATTTAAAAAATATCATTGACTTCTGCAAATTCCTTTGATCTTTGGGGCAACCTCAAAAAGAGTTTTATCAAATTTTTAATTTTTTGTAAATTTATCATACCATTATATAATTTTGTTTAGTGAAATTTAGTTGCATGCATTGAAATTGGTTTCATTATATTTTGCAGTTGCTCCATCCAAAATTGCGATTATGGGACCAACGGAGGGTATAGTCGGTAATGTCATCACAATGTCTTGCGCGGCTGGACCCAGCAATCCTGCATCCAAGCTGTCATGGATTATCGATGGTAATCTGATTCCCAGCACGACCTCTGAGGTGGAAGTATCGAAAGGAGGTTGGATGACAACATCCAATGTCACTGTCACTCTCACCAGGCAGGTAAATCTCTTTGGTACATCTAAACGAAATATTTATCTGATTATAATTTTTATTTCTATATAATATTTTCAAATTATTTAATATTTAAATATTACTTTATTAGGTAACTTTATAATACAATTTGCACATGTATTGAAAAATTATTATCAAATATTAAATGGAAAGATATAATATTGCCCTTAAAAGCCTTTTTAAATAAAATATTTGAGATTTATTTTGCTTTAGATACAAGAATTATACAAAATATTCAGATGTAATAAATGAATATTAATATGAAAACTGCTTTAGGAATAATTCATTTAAGGATAGTAACGATAAAATTCATTTTTTTATAAAATATATATATATATATTTATTTTAACACATATGATGATGAAAATAAGACAAAACAAATAATTATTTAGTTCAAATTTTAAATATATATTGTTATAAAAATATTCTTATATATTTTTCAAAACAATATATAAAAAATATATATAAATATTGCACCTTTAAACAAATGAATAAAGAAAATCAGTTTTTTAAAATAAAAACTTAACTATTCTAATTATTTCAAATCTTATAAATACTTTTGAAATGAGTAAGGAAACAATTTACAAATCATTATATTTTTTAATAATAATATTCAATAGATATTACTTTGAAAAACTTTTTAAATTATTTCATTAATCTATGTATTAGATGAACATTAAATAAATGAATTGGATTGATGTAAATTTGGATGTAAATCTGATGTAAATCACTTTACCATTCTTCAGGAAATAATAAAATCATAAAATTCTAACCACAAATTGTTAAAAAATAACTATTAATATGTAAATTAAAAATATCATTATTAAATTTAAAAAAGCCACAATATTAGACATAAATTTGTTCTCGTTAGGTATTTTTATTTTAAATTCTTTAAATATAAATATATTGTTATTTTTAAATAAAATTAGCTGATTTAAACCGAGAAATTTTTACCATATTCATTTTACAAATGTTTTGCATCTTATTCGATTCCTTACACAGCATTAACCCTTTCCTATAAATTGAGATTTATTGAAAAACATTCACTTTTTATAACACTAAACTCTTTAATACATAGATCAGTTTAAATACTATAATAAATAATTCCGAGAGTTTATATATATGTATATATATTGAAGTTTACCAGAAAACCTTGGGCACCACAAAATATCCCAGGAGGTTTACAGAAGTAAATAACGAAGAAATTAAGGACAAAATAATCAAAACATCGTATAAATAGTAAATTTAAAAGTCCACAAGGTTTTTTTTTAGCAGAAGAGAAATAAAATAAAAGAAATATAGAAATATAAGGGATTTATGTAATATCAAAATTTAAATTAAAATTTAGAAAATGCTGTAAAATCAGGTTTCTTATGGACAAATTTACAAAATATTGGTGGCCAGTTGACTAGTTTTTTTTTACTTTTAGTTCTTTCTTTGAAATTTTTCTTCCATGTTCAAACTTAATGTCGTTATCCATATATTGTACACCACCTACATTGCAATTGCTCATATCGGTTGAACATAGTCTATGTCCAGTCACAACTTCAGTGATTCTAAAATTTGAAAAAAAATACGAAAGCTACGCCTTTAGAGAATAGAGGTTAAGCA